ATGCCCAACAATAGGTAAATCATCAAACAAATGTGGTATATCCATAAAATGTGAGATTACAGAAGGAAGTGTTGATTCATGCTACAACATGGGTGGACCTTGAAAACATAATGATAAATGAGAAAAGCCAGACAAAAAAGACCACATATTGTATGATCCCATTAATATGGAATGTTCAGAACAAGCAGATTCATAGAAACAGACCTGGAAAGAGAATGAAGAATAACTGCTAATGGATACAGGATTTGGGGGGGGGGGGTGATTTGAAAGTGTTCTGAGATTAGCGTTGATATTATATAACCCTGTGAATATACTAAAAGCCATTAAATTGTATACATTTTATTAAACTGAGTTTGATAGTACTTGGATTATATCTGAATAAACCTCTCATTTTAGAAAACTGCTCCCGCTGGCTGTGTATTGTGGAACCAAAAGTTTGGATGTGGTGCAGGAATTCGACAATCCTACAAAATTTTTAGATCCTACTAAATTTCCAAAGGGAACAATTAGCTCTCGTGGGAATAATACATGAAATATTCAAGTTCAAGTTATATTTCTTTTAAAGAACATGAAGATAAATTTGGTCTTTACTTATTTCTCCACTTACAGGTAGAAACATTCTTTTATAGAAAATGCAGGACAGAATCCTCTCTGTTCACCACCCAATAAATAGTCTCACTTGCCAATAAAGCCAGAACCCTCACCAAGACATTTTGCCCAATTACATATCTCACAATAGGTACTTTGGGAAATCCTCCAAAACTTTTCCTTTGCGTTGCAGGGGTGCTGAAAAATAGTCTGAATTTCTGAAAGAACACTCTAGAATGCTTCTGTCATTTCAGCTGCATTCCAGGAGGTGGTAGCAGATGGTCATAAAGATACCCTGAATACAGAATGGTAGGCTAGTTTGAGATAGATCAATTCAGCCAGGAAAAATATCCCTAGGACTCTCGTGTACCATCATTGCAACCAAAGAGTGCAAAGGAAATTTTTGTAATAGGCAATATCTGTGCATGAGGCAAATTTAAAAAAATATATAGCAGGTATCCAGTGCAAAGTCCATCTTTCAGTTTTATATCCACATACACTGCTCCTTTTCCAAAGAGGCAACCATCATTACCAATTTAATTATTCTCCCTAAGATTACCTATACATTTCCAAATATACATATTGTGCACTGGATATTTTTCATTCATGTAAGATAACTTTCAAGCTAGTCTATATACATTATTCTTCTGAGCAGCTTCATAAGACTTTATAGTATGGATGTAATAAAAAAAAATTTGGGGGGGGGGTCCGGTCATGGGGCCTGAACTCTGGGCCTGGGCGCTGTCCCTCAGCTCTTCAGCTCAAGGCTAGCACTCTACCACCTGAACCACGGCACCACTTCCAGCTTTTTTCTTTTTGCTTATGTGGTGCTGAGGAATCGAACCCAGGACCTCAGGCATGCAAGGCAAGCGCTCTACCACTAAGCCACCTTCCCAGCCCAATAAAAATTTCTTAACCACAGACACACACACACACACACACACACACACACACACACACACACACACACACACACACAATGAAATTCTATGCCTCCATCAGAAAGCATGACATTGACCCATTTGTTAGGATATGGAAAGACTTGGAAAAAATTATATTAAGGGAAGTAAGCCAAGCCCAAAGAAACATAGGCCCCATGGTTTCCCTTATTTGCAATAACTAGTTTATGTCTGAGATAAGCAGAAACGGTCAGATAAGTTGATGTTAGGCGAAATGAACTCCAAGATAAGGACCCAACTGTTTTTTCTTTCTTGTTTCTAACATATTTATAGGATATTTGTTTGTTGCTTTGTATGTCCCTCCCCAATGGTATAACCCCGTTTTCACTGTATTTGATGTTGGTATAATTTGTGGAGAGGAAGGAAAAAAACAAACTGTTTAAATAGGGATACAGGTGGACCCATTGCAACAATGAGATGTATAAGACGTTATGTCGAAAAACGAACTTTACAACTTTGGTGGGGGAGGCGGGGGATAGGGGAAGGGGGGGAGATGGGAAAGGGTGGGAAGGGGAAACAAAGGAGGAGGCAACAATGCTTGATAATAAATGTACTCATTACCTTGCTCATGTAATTGTAACCCCTCTGTAGGGTATTTTCACAATAAAATAAATACATAAAATAAAATTTCTTAACCACAGAATGAATTTTTATTACCAGTATGTCTAAAGCACAGAGGAAATTAGCTGTTCGTAAGAAGAAGCTACTGACAGATGTATATTGTTTAGCCATCACAATGGTTTTAGAAGGTGTATTTCAACTTCTTTAGCCAAATGGAATGTGGTAGGAAATACTAACCATCAAAATCCACCCTTCTCTTTAAAATCTTGAGGGTATCACTGGGAAATGACGGCCCTGGCTGCCAGCTAAATACATATGTGAGAATAGGTTTCCTTTGTTAGATGTGAATAGAAGTGGTAGAAGTGATGAAAGTTCCTGGTTTGAAGCTTTAAAGGAAAGGCTATGTCTCCTCACACAATCTCTGTCCTTTCTGCCCCGGTAGTTAACAATAGGAACAGAGAGGGCTATTGTGAAATAGGCAGAGTTAAGGTTTTCTATCATCACCACAGACCTCTTAGGCTGTAAACCTTACAACTGGCTTTGAAAGAGGCAGGCCAGAGTCAAAAGTAGAAGGAAAACTGACATCTAGTAGAAGAGAACAAAATCAGATTATGATTTAAAAAAAACATGTTAAGGAAACAACTGTTTCAATGAGGAATGAGATATTAGGTTCTAAAATTATATATATATATATTTTTTTTTTTGGGGGGGGGGGGAGTCCGGTCATGGGGCCTGAACTCTGGGCCTGGGCACTGTCCCTCAGCTCTTCTGCTCAAGGCTAGCGCTCTACCACTTGAGCCACAGCGCCACTTCCAGCTTTTTTCTTTTTGCTTATGTGGAGCTGAGGAATCGAACCCAGGGCCTCAGGCATGCAAGGCAAGCACTCTACCACTGAGCCACCTTCCCAGCCCCTCTAAAATTATATTAAGTGAAGTAAGACAGACCCAAAGAAACATAGGTCTCCTGGTTCCCCTAATTTGCAATAACTAGTATATGTCTAGAATAATCTTACCAGCCAAGCAGAAAAGGTCAATAGCTATGCACGTATGACCATATAAGATGGTGCTAAGCGAAAGTAACCCCAAGATATGGACACAAGAGGGTTTATTTTTCCTTGTCGCTGTTGTTTTTAATGTACTATGTGACTTTTTTTTCTTCTTTTGTATGTTCTTAGCCCATGGTATAACCCCTGTTGTCACTGTATTTGATTCTGGTGCCCTGCATCAGCTGGAATTCAGTCCTTCTGAAAACCTTCAGAATAACCTTCTAGAAAGAATCACAGAATTATCCACTGGGGTCAGGAGAGTTAGGGGACTTTATATTTATCAGTCATATGATGTTCCTGAGGGCATTAATTCCCTGATAGTTTCAAGTCACAACAAGATGGGCCTCAGGTTCACATTAAGGTCTATGAGTCAAACAGGGTGACATTTACATCATGTTTATCATATCGCTGAAACCTTACAACTGTATAAAGTTAGTATTGACTCTATTTTGCACATGAGTAATAAGAAGTACAAAAATATTAAACCACTTGCTGAAAATCAAGCAGTTCAACAAGCAGTTAAGCTGAGCTCCAAGTAAAGTTATGTCTTCCACTGTGCAAGATGATGGGATAAAACCCATAGCATGCCAATTTTCAAGCACAGCTGCTATCTCCTTCCTGTGTCACAGAGCCTGAAGTGCACATACAGCTCTACCCTCCCTCCTTGCAACTGAAAAGTGTTGACATAGCTGCCCAGATTGTCTTAATCTTCTTGCCTCCATAAAAGAATTTTCTCGCTCATAATGCACCAACTATGTGAAATTTTTATAACATCATCACCCATGCCTACTCCCACTCTAAATACCAGTTCTTATGAAATTATGCCAGAATTTCCATCAAAGTATGCAAGGAAATTTAAAAGAAATATTTGTCTGATGAGCTCATTTCAGACAATCAAATTTCATAGCGTTCCAGATTCTCATATATTAAAAAATAATCTATAACTTTACTGTGAGGAGGTTACTTTATTAGAACAAATAAAACATGCTGAGCTGTGCCAGGTCACGGGGTCATCCTAATGTAAGAGCAAATGAGAATCTTTTCTTAGTAGAAAAGATTTTTTTTAAAAATCTACAATCACTAGCATCTGAAGCCGGCTTGAGTTAAAATGCATGAATCAGTAGAACAGTTTTTTTTAGAATAGTGCTGTATCCTGTCACCTGCATGTGTCTCACTGTCTGTCCTTAGGTTCCCTAGGAGGACATGTCTAGTCACAGGAAGCCCAGGAACAGAGAGGCCTCTCTGACTTCCCCTACCACCAGCCCAGCTACACAGCTCAACAAACTCCTACTGCCAGAAGCTCCAGCATAGCCCACTTGAAGGGTTCCTGGCCTTAGACTCCTTTACCAAATCCCCATCAATCCAATTTGGAGGCTCTTTACATTAAACCATATGGTTCACAGGATCTTCTCCACAAGGATAAACTGTCAGAGAAGGGCCTGGCCAAGGGCTGTTCTCTAAGATCTTATGCAAAAGAACCATATAAGTGTCTAAGAAAATGGCAGGCAGTGATCTTATTTACAAATTACCATGATGCAGAGAACAAGACTCCAGCCAAGCACACAGTGGAAAGCATTTTTATCCCCTGGATACAGATGTTCAGCATTCTCGTACCACAGTAAGTTACAGGCAAGGATCCAGACCCATATGTCTATCTGCTGGGATTGCTTTCCTTCCCCCCCCCCAAAAAAAAATCCCACAGCAATATGAAGACCATCATGGAAAAAGAAACTGCCAGATCTGCTCTTTCCCCCAACTCACAGAGGCCTTTGCAACTGACACACCCAATGGCTCCAACAGAAAAGGGAGGGGCTCAGAGGGGCTCAGAGGACAGGGAGGCACTTCACCTGGCTCAGTGGGCTGGAAGACTTTATTCAGATCCAAGGAGGAGGCTCTGGAATGGGTTTTCTGTGGCCGCGGTGGTGGGGTGGGTGGGTCCTCACCCCTTTTCATGGCCTCTTCTATGGAGGTGCTAGAGTAAGATCTGCAGCAAAATAAGTGAAAGTCAGAAGGAAAGAGCAAAGCTTTACTCCCAGAAGATGGGTAGAAACAGAACGTCAAAGTAACTGCAGAGAACTAATGAGCTGCCAAGAGCAGCTACTATCGCTTGGATGCTACTATGTATAATAACTGTGGAGATACATCCTTGAGATAAGGTCTTGCTACGCAGCCCAGGCTGAGGTTAAACTCAAGGTCTTCTTGTCTTGGTCTCCCAAGTGCTGGTAGAGCAAATGTCCACCACCACACCCGGCTTAGGACCTTTTTAACCTCTTTCATTATGCCATAGACATAAATTTACCCTCCATCTCCCCCCCCCCAAAAAAAAAGTTTCATGTAAATTCAAATCCATTTTGATTAGGGTTTTTAATAAGAACACCATGTAAACACTTCGGTGTAATTATTTTCATGCTCTAATAAAAGGGCTTCATGGTATTAATTGATTGTAAAACCTCACCCCCTGCCTACTGCAAATGTGATGACAGGCACATATGGAATTGAGATAGATAAGATGAGACTAAGAATTATATATTCAAGGGAATATGCCACATATGGAATTTAAGAAAGGAAAACACATCAATCAGATTGAAGGGTTTGACTTGCCTTGCTTGGGAAATAAGTGTATGTGGAAATATTCAAAGCAAAAGCTTCATTTTAACCTTCATTACAGTATAACAAGGCAATGTTAACTAAGCAACTTCTGAGACTGTATCTCCAACAATGACATTTAAAAAAAACACTAATGCCAAAGTTCACAAAGCTAGAAAGTTACATAGGTTCAATTAAAACTCCAGTCTGTCTCTAAACTTAATTTTTTAATGATTTTCTATCCCTATGAACCACAGAAGAAATCCTTTGGCAGTAGCAGCTAAACTAGCTATTGGAAATCTACTTATTTTATTTAATTAATTCAACTCCATAGATCAGGAAAAGGATGTATACATCTCTTCTCAACTAACTTCATGTTCTAGAGACAAATTAACCTCAAGAAACTGTTCTTTCTCTTTAGCTATTAGAGTGGCACTTAGGAAATTCGAATCTATCAATGACTATTGAGGGGCTGGAAAGGTGGCTCAGTGGTAGAGTGTTTGCCTTGCATACATGAGGCCCTGGGTTCAATTCCTCAGCACCACATAAGCAGAAAAAGACAGAAGTGGTGCTGTGGTTCAAGTGGTAGAGCGCCAGCCTTGAGCTGAAGACCTAAGGGACAGTGCCAAGGCCCAGAGTTCAGGCCCCATGACCAACAATAAAAAAAAATGACCATTAAGCCTCATCAGTTCTTTATAGAGTTGTTTTTGACATGGCAAGTTTTTCTTTATATAAATATGTTTCTCAAAGTTTCTTTGTGGTAGTCAAGGGTTTTGTCTTTCTTGTATGATTTTAATGACACATGATATACTCTGGGGTGGTCCCCATACCATAACTAGCAAGATGCACAGAATAAACAGGCAGGAACTAAGGAAAAAAAGCTTTAACACTCTGACCCAGAATCAAAAGGAAACAACATGAAAAGACAATATGCTTTATAAAACTAGAGACTATCTCTAGAGATTTTTCAAGAACTTCCTATGCACACACAGCTTTGGTGACATGTTCTACTCAAAAAAAGAATAATGTATATATGTAAATAATGTATATGCACACATATAATTAAATACACTATCTTCTACTACAGACCTCCTTTCTACTTCATTTCCATTTTTAATGTATTCTTATATTTGCAGAAAGATACTAAATATCAATCATTAAAACATAAATGTAGCCAAGCACCAGTGGCTTAAGCCTGTAATCTTAGCTACTCAGGAGGTTGAGATTTGAGGATGGTAGTTCAAAGGTTGCCCAGGCAAGAATTCCATGAGACTCTTATCTCCGATAAACTACTCAGAAAAAGCTGGAAGTGTCATTGTGGCTCAAGGGGTAGAGTGCTAGCCTTGAGCACAGAGATGCTCAGGCACAGTACCCAGGCACTGAGTTCAAGCCTCAGAACCAGCAAAAAATAAATAAATAAATAAATGTCCAGGGAATTGTCAAAAGGACGAGCATGGTAATATTAGAATAGTGATTTGTTTCCCATTCCCTCACATTTCTACAAATACTTATTATTTGAAAAAAAGGAGAATTAAAATGATTGGATACTCTACTCCCACCTTCCAAACAAAAATGAGTAAATGTATTCACCATGGAGATAGTGACTATAGCTTTTTCTTCCTACTGAAATGAATTATTTTTTAAGATAGAAATATAGCCAAGTTCTGAGGGCTCATATATAATCTAGCTACTCAGAAGGCTGAGATCTGAAGGACTACAGTTCAAGAAAAGTCTGGATAGAAAAGTTTATGAGGCCTCATCTCCAAAATAATGAGCAAAAAGCCAGGCTGTAGGCGGGCCTCTGCTAGTACAAGCATGCTGAACAAGCACAAAGCTTGAATTCAAACTCTAGCATTCAATACTATAAGTACCTGCACCTCCTATACATAAGGTAATAGAACCTCAACTAAGAAATTGTAGACATAACTCTTAGATTTGCAGTGAGATGAGATTTACTTAAATGTAAGTAATTCAAAAATATAAAATATAACCAGGCTTAAATTCACTTTTTTGAGAATGTGTTTTGTAGCCAAAAGAAGTCTCTAAGACCCAGAGAAAAATTCACAAAACATAGTGTAAGATAGAACAGTTGTATGGCTAAAAAAAAAAGTGCTTTCAATACCATTTCTATTCTTTAATGGATTAACACTTGGTATTTTTGTATTTCTCCTTTGTTTTTCTAAGTGTGATATCAACCAAGGGACTGCCTTACTGATCCTTTTAAAAATGTGAAGCTGCAAAGAGGTGCTAATATAGGCATAAACAGACCCAAAGAACTGTTTGCCTGAACCCTAGTATATCCTTGAAATCATCCCACATCTAGATTGTACTCCTCAAACTTATTTTTTTGGTGTTCACCTTGTCATGATGGCAAATTGCAGTCATTAGTTACCTTTTATCTGTAGTTCTCTCTTCCCAAAACTATGTGTTCTTATTAGTTATTATCTGGCCCCAACTGAATCATCTCATACAACCCACTTCCTCTAGAGGGCCTAGAAAATATCAATCACCATCATCCAGCACTAACAACCAAAGACTAAAAGGCTCTCCAGTGTCACTGCATGTTCTAAGGAAGCCACTCACAAAGAGTAAAATGGTTTCTATCTTTAGTTTCAAATCTAAAGGCAAATGAGATCATGGTTTGGGGCTTGGGTTTCTTGTTTTTAGGCAGGAATAGGGCCCAAAAGTCAATGAAGCAGGAATTGAATACTACCTGGATCTTGGTCTTCCTTTGAGACTGTTGGAATCCTTAGAAGTTGCTGAAACAAAGATTATTTGTTGTTTGCTTGGGTTTCATTTCTGCAGTTAAACAGTGATATATGCAGCACCTGGGCTAGTACAGAACACATCAACAAGTAAATGTGAGACCAAGATGTCCGTGTGGAGAAGTCTGGAGCGTCCACATTTGAACATTTTCCTAATTTTTCTTTTAATTTTTTTTATCTAAAGGCTCAATTAAAAGGAAAGAAACCCCAGAATATTTTTCTATTTTATCACAACGCTATCAGAGAAGCCAGAATCAATTGTAAGTTTACTGATGGAGACATTCCAACCTCCCAAGGTTATCTTTTTATTTAATGATGGATTCACACTTGCAAGCTTGTTAGTCTCTTGTGATGCCTAATACAGATTTTGAATCAGTCTTTTCTGAGGACTAGGAAGAAATCTATCCAGCTACACATTTTCTTAAAATAAACTACTGTGGAGCAACATGGTCTCAAAAATGCAAGACTCCTATAAGAAAAGATTATTTTTCCTGTAAGAAAAGATTCTTGCTCCCCATATCTCTAACCAAGATAGAAACTATTATGGGATGAAATCATTAAAATATTTTGTTGATCACATGACCTCCCACATCAAATTTAAATCATAAGCAAACTTTCTCACTACAAACGCCCATGCAACCTACTTTCCCATGATAAATTGTAAAAGGTAATTAGAAACAGTTACCAAAAATATCAATCCCCTTCCATTTTTCTCAATCCTCTTTTTATGTTTTCAGTTCTCAACAGAAGGCAACTTCAGAAACAAGTAGCTATGCTATGCTGATGGGTCAGGCCTATATTCCTAGATACTCAGAAAATTGAGATCCAGAGTATCATAAATTGAAGTCAGGCCAGGCAGAAAAGTCTATGAGGATCCATCTTCTAAATAATCAGCAAAAATCAAGGCTGGAGAAGTGTCTCAGTGGTAGAGCACCAAGTGAACAAGCACTAGGCTCTGAGTTCAAACTCCAGTACTAACGAACAAAGAGAGAAACAAGAAAGGAATATAATGGAATAGAATAGAGTAGAATAAGAAACCAGAAGCTATGCTAAAGATTTACAAGCTTTGCAAATCTTGCATCATAAAAAAAAAATATGGAGGGCTGGGAATGTGGCCTAGTGATAGAGTGCTTCCCTAGCATGCATGAGGACCTGGGTTGGATTCCTTGATACCATATAAACAAAAATAGAAGTAATTTTAAAAACTTATGAAAGAGTGCTACTTACAAGGAACAAAGATAATATAATTTATTTCTTTGTTTTTACAAATTTTTCCAAATGAAAATGCCTCACTGCATTATTAAATTCTTTTTTACATTGCTATAAACATTTAAAAGAAACTCCTCTTTAGTATGATGCAGCCAAAAGTAAGGATAATCACTAAATCCTTGGGTTAGATAAGCAGGGCAGAAAGGGAAGCTAAAAACCCTCATAATGGCTAGCAAGGTTCAGGGCAAACTGCTGAGAGATATTTCCCTTAGGCAGGTCAGTTGCATGGAAGAGCCATTTTTCCGAACCTAAAAGCTTCGGTTTGCACGAATGAGAACTCAGGCATCTTTTAGCTTCAACAAATTGAAGCCTGGCCATACCACCACCACCACCACCACCACCCGCCAAATGTCCAAGGACTCTGAGTCCCTCCTTGCTTGTATCATGCACTCACACATGAATATGGAAAGAAAAACTAGAGAGAGAGAGAGAGAGAGAGAAAGAGAGAGAGCGCTTGGGTGTGCCTCTCTTCCAGTCAAGGAGGCTGCCCTAAAGCTGAAGGGCCAGTATATGACCAGACTCACCACAGAACTGGGGGCAAACCTCTAAGCAGGCTGACCAGTGTTGCTCTGTGCCCCCTTGTTTCCCTCAGGCCCCACTGCTTTCCAGAAACATCTGCATACAAGTCCTATCCAAGTTCAAATACTGTTCCCCCAAACCAGATGATAACCATTTATTCAGTTGTCATTATCTTTGTCTTTTTGTGCTGGTGTGGGGATGGGTGTAGAAGGAGGGGTGATCCCTGCTAGTAACAGATAGACAGTCAGTCAGATGAAGTAAGGGTGTGGATGAGCAATGGAGATATAGACCAGAGAGCAGGCTGGGAGTCTTGATGACCATGTGTTCCTCCTGGCCATCACATTAAGGATTTGTTAACTTCCTGAACCTCAGTTTCCCCATCCACAGAGTAAAGCCAATAAAAATGAAACCTCTTTCTTATAGGGACAGATAAAAAGGCGAAAATGAAGCCAGGCACCAATGGTTCTAGCCTATAATCCTAGCTACTCAGGAGGCTGAGATCTGAGGGTCACTCTTCCAAGTCAGTGTGGGCAGGAAAGCCCATGAGAGTCATATCTCCAATGAACCACAAAAAAGCTCGAAGTGGAACTATGGCTCAAGTGGTAGTCTTTGAGCTCAAAAGTTCAGGGACAGTGCCTAGGCCCTGAGTTCAAGCCATAGGACTGGCATACAAAAAAAGAAGGAAAAGTGCAAAGAGAACTGTTCCAGCACAGTTAAGATCATAGACTAGTCTTTAGCAATGAAGCAGCCCCCTACCACCACCAACAGCATTTACAAGACCTCACTGAGGGGAAACTGGCATAAAACACCTCAGCACGACTCAGAGACATCAAGACCAAGATCACCAATGTGCAGTGTGCATAATTGAAATAGGTTGGAATAGGATGTTGGGTACAGAATCTCCTAGACTCCTTTAATATGTACACTTTCAGCAATTAAAAGGGAAGAGCAGATGGAAAATATATAAGTAATGTCCCCTTTCCCTAATATAGTAGCCCCTCATTTATCACCCACTACATCACCCTCATTGTCATTATCATCATCATCATCTCATCATCATCATCATCATCGTCATCATCATCATCATCATCGCCAACAACTATAGAGACTAGAACAGGGAGATGCTTCTACCTGCAAAAATATTTACAAAATATCTCATGGTAAGTCTTCTAGAAAGGTTCAACAACACTATCCTATTCAACTCTTCTGTCTACTTCTAAGCTCTGAAAACCTGATTCTGCTTTTGGGGCGTGTGAATATCACAGATATTCACACATGGCAATGGTATGTTATGTTGTAAATTCAAGCAAAAGCCAAGGGAAAAAATGACAACTGAAACACTCTAGTATGTAATCTTTGCAGAAAAATGACAATGGAAAAAGAGAGAAGTCTAAAAGATTAACCCTCCATAATGCTGTAACTGAATTGAACATACTCCCCAATGAAGGGACTGCTATATAGAATTTTTAATTATCACCTTAAGATTCCTGTGTCTTCTGCAGTAGATACAAAGAAATCACTAAATGTGTTTAAGGTGAGGTATCTCATCACACCCAGAAAAGGGCAATAGTGGAATAATGAACAAGTCGGACAAACATACCATGCTCTCAGGAACAATATGAATTGAATTTATATACACTTCATGCACTGTGGCACACGCGTTAGGTTTGGTTTAGTGATGTCAAGTCTTAGTCAAGAAATGTTAAAAATGAGACCTAAAGCTCATGCCCCAGAGAACACTTGATTTCATGATAAAAAAGGATCTCTGGGTGAAAACTGGAAGTGTAATTCTCAAAGCCTGTTGGAGAAGCATCAGCTTAACACCCCACGTTTAAATTATTTTTATTAAGACTACAATATGGGCAGGTTGTACAGCAGTATAACTTTTTTCTTATTTATTCCATCCAGTAGATATGGCTTGTACAATGTACAACAGTTCCATTTTGAAGAATAAAAAATAACTCAAAATTTAAAAAGACTATAATATGAAGTTAACAAAGCCTGAGAAACATCCACTTTAGCATCAGAAATGAGAATCGCAAAAAGCCATGTTCAGATGGTGCAGACAGAGCATTTCCCTCTGATGAGTGAATCGAAAGTGTTTCAAAAATCAAAATTTGGCTTGGATTTCCCACTGCTATTGAAGTCATGAGTCTTGGTTATCTATTTTGTATCATTACTTTCTAAAGGTAGTGGTTGTCAAAATAGACTGCAAACCAGAATCACCAGAGGAACTGGTGGTTTATCAGGCTTTCCTTCACTTAGATCAGCCATACGCTCTCATTCATATTCTTTATTCTTCCCTCCCTGCCTCTCTCTTTCCTTCTCTTCCTCAGTCTTTCCCACTCCATCTCACTATTTTCTCTATCCTACTCTCTTTTAAACCTTGACTGAACTTAGTGTTTGGGAAATATATCATCACAGCATATGTTCAATTCACTCTTTTGTTCCAATGTTAAGCAAATAACCCAGGATGATAGCTAGCTAACAACAAAAAAATACAATTTACTCATCCACTATGCAAGAGAAATAATAGTAAAAGAAAAGTAGAAACTTATTTCATGTCCTCATAACTAGAACTCCAAATAGTAATGACTTCTGTAGTCACTTGTTTTGAACGGAGTTCATCTTGATTTAACCATGGCTACATCAAGAGAGAGTTGAAGACCCAGCCCAGCCTTCTCTATGGTTCCACAGACACATTTCCATATCTCAAAGAATCTGGAAAGCACAACTTTTATTTTTCGCCTTGGAAACTACTCCATGTAAAGCACATACTTTTTGCTTTTTCTGTGGTGAAGTATAATAAAAAATATTTGAGATTTATGCTTCGGAAATGGAAAATGCCAACTCTGGGTCTCTATTTAATCACTTATCAATTCCTTGCTGTATACAGAAACCACAGTGGCTTATTGAAATCATCTCAATTCCAAATCTTCTTAACTTTCCAATTTTAACAAGCTTGAATGATCCTTTTGGTGGGACCTGAATCATAATCTTAAAAATAAGCCATTCTCGTTTCGTCCCTGAAAAAAGGAAAGAGTAGAATGCCAAAAGGCTGACTTGTAATAAAACACAAGACAAATATTTAGAGAGAAACATATATAGAGTTAGCAATTTTCTACTCACAAAACTGTTAGGTTTTTTAACTTAGAAACAATAACACAGAAGGTATATTAAAATGGTTTTCTCCTACCTGGATCCTCAGATAGGTCCTTTGGTAAGGCTTCATTGATGGCACTTTTCAAAGCTAGTGGTGTTTTGTTTCATTTTTTAAGAAAAATAAAGGACAGAAAAGAACAAAACCATAAAAATTTATTTCTGAAGAACATCACTGTAAAACAAACAGTCCCTAGTCATCACTTATAAAAATAAGTCTTACAAACCTCTAGACATCACTACAGCATTTACTAGAACAATAAAAAATAATTTTTAATCTAGTGGAGTATGGAAATAAATTCTCCTACAGAGATCAAACCAGTTTCAATTTTCCAGAGAGAGGGCCTCTAGTGGTTAATTGGAATATTACCAAAGAGTATTAAGAATTTTCCCCCTTTCCTTTCTGACAGCAGGATCAATAACATGAGGAGGTCGGGGACTGCAATGCTAGCTTCAGTACTTTTAGAGCTGGCCTGGTGGTTATTCCGCCATGCAGTGAAAGCTAACCCACCATTTGGGAGACCCATCGCTGTACATGGGACTGCCAGTTCCATCTGGTTCTCCGGAGCAAGTGTTTGAATAGGAAGCATAACGTTATTGTTGTTTAGCTGAAAACTATTTTTTATGTTTAATCATATCTAAGGCTGAATGAATGGCAGGTTTCAGCAATCAAACCTGGAATAGCTTCACTGCAGACAAGGCTCAATTCATGAGTAGTTAATCAATGTGAGATAACAGATGGAATACTGGTTTGACACTCCAAGTCCTGATTCTCATTTAAGTTCTTTTTCCTTTTTTTTTTGTACAAGGAAATGATTCATACTAACTGAACTTCAGCTTGCTTATGGCTAAATCTTAGGTAACAAAACACACCAGATTTGTGAGGGCTGACTAGGACAGTATATGAAAAAGCACCTGGTGAAAGAATTGTAAACGTATTACACAAAGCGTGGAGTTTGGAAGAGCGGGTCCTTCCTATACTTCTAGATCCTGCTGCCCAAGTCATCCCCCTGCTTGATGGTAGCTCTAACATAGAACTCTGTATTGTGTGACTTCTCGGCTACCCAGAATAATAAGCAAATGATAGCTTTGCTTTATGTTACACCACCATAACCACAAAGCCACTGAGAAACAGATAAAGCCTTGAGACACAACCTGTAGCTGAAGAGAACTTTTTGAAGACACCTGTGTTTTTAGCATGGTGTATGCCAATGTAAAATATTAAGCTCTCAATTCATTCTATTTCTTCTCATTTTCTACTTCACAGAAGCAGATTCCAATGGAAGATATCAGAATAGACTAAGGTTAACAATTAGGCTGGGGGGATGTAGACACTAATGTTCTTGCTCTCACTTTAGGAGCCACCATTTTGCAACAAGTTGCAACTATTTAATCTATTCCAATGAGTTTGCATACTGAGAACTATCTTCAGATGCTCAAGAAACCAGCCATTCCAAGAGAAGTAGATAAGGGAACAGAGGAATATGTCTTTGAAATAAGACAATGCATCCTTTTCATACCTTGTTTATCATCACCAGTCATGTCTTGGGCAGGGCCAGGAAAGTCAGCCACATCTTTAACAGATGTCTTCTTAAAAAGGAAAAAGAAATGAGTTATGCAGGTTGGAATGGAAATATGTGATGTGCACACATAGGAAATGATTAAAAGGCTGTTTCTTGCCAAAAGTTCTGTCTTCACGCTATGTCGAAAAATGAACTTTACAATTTAGGAGAGGGGTGGGGGGTGGGTAGGAGGGTGTAGCTGAGGAGGTGGGAGGGAAGGGATGGTAGGGGAAAAACAAAGGAGGAGGCAACAATGCTGGATAAGAAATGTACTCATTACCTTGCTCATGTAACTATAACCCCTTTGTTACATTTTCACAATAAAAAAATTAAAAAGTTCTGTCTTCAGTAACCTCTGAAATATAATAGTATTTTCATTACTTTTGGTTCCTATTACAGAACCTAATTAAACTACTAAGTTAATTTGTATTAAAAATTTACATACACAAGGTAAAGAAATAATGATTCAGATCAAAGCCTATATGTAGAGTGTACATTAAATCATAATCTAGCTAGAGAATTGCACATTTGTCCTGTGAGACAAACAAGCTCCAACTTAGATGTTATGTAATTTTTTCATAAGCAGAGAGAGGTTCTAATAAGCAGCCCCATAATGTGGATGTTTGCCATGAACTGTCATGAAGACAGCTACCTAACCCTGATGAAAACAGCCTCCTTGGTATAGAATAAGAAAAGTTCATTGATGATCAGATCAAAATTTGTCATAAGTTACCTATGATGGAAGCTCTTACGTGTACTGAATATCCATTTTGATCAAATAGGAATTATTATTATTATTTTGTCAGTTGTGGGCCTGAACTCTAGGCCTGGGCGCTGTTCCTCAGCTCTTCAGCTCAAGGCGAGCACTCTACCACTTGAACCACAGCGCCACTTCCGGCTTTTTATTCTGCTTATGTGGTGCTGAGGAATCGAACCCAGGGTCTCATACATGCAAGGCAAGCACTCTACCACTGAGCCACCTTCCCAGCCCTTAGAAATTATTTTAAAATCTTCTTAGTATGAATTTATTTTGCACAAACTCTCAGTAATTACTATCTTTTCCCCTTGCTCCCTATCCACTATTGATCAATAGCCAGGGGGTGGGGGTTATTACATGTATTGATTTGTGTGTGTTCACTCATCCTTGAATACCTGGTATGAAACAAATTTGATCATAGTATGTTACCTTTTTAATGTGTTGTTCAATTCTGTTTGTAAGGATTTCTATATGTTCTATATGTTCATCGGGAAATTAGTCCATAGGGTTTATTTTTGCTGCTGCTGCTGTTGTTGTTATGTCCTTATTCAATTTTGTTTTCAGGATACTACTGTCTTCATAGAAGGAATTTGGTAGCATTCCTACCCTTTCTATTTCATGGACTGTTTTATAAGCACTAGTGTGTTCTTTAATGAATTCAGCAGTGAATCTATTCAATTCTGCTCTTTTCTTTGTTAGGAGACTCTTAATTACTGCTTCAATCTCACTACTCAGTATAAACCAGTTGTTTTTATATCCTCTGGGTTTAATTTTGGTAGGTCTTAGTATCTAGAAATTCATTCATTTATGCTAGATTTTCCATATTATTAGAGTATTAAGTTTATTTATTCCATAACGTTGCTCGGTATTTCATTGGTACCATTTAAAATGTCCTTTTTGTCTCCTCTAATTTTATTAGTTTGGATCTCCTCTTTCTTTTGTTTAGTTTTGAAAAGGGTTTGTCAATTGCATTTCTCTGTCAATGAAGCAACTGTTTATTTCAGTGATCATTTGTACTGTTCTTTTGGTTTCCATTTCATTACTTTTAGCTTTGGTCTTTATTATTTTTCCTTCAACTAATTCTGAGTTTAGCTTGTTCTTGTTTTTCTAAGACATTGAGGGACATCATTAAATTATTCATTTGAGACCTCTCCATCATCGCTACAAAATTTCCTCTTAGAAATGCCTTTTGTGTGTTACAAAGAAACTAGTAAGTAATGCTTTAAATTTTTTATTTGATACTTTTTTAATATCCATCTGATCCTTCAGTGACCCATTGATCACTCTAAAATGTATTGTTTGGCCAGGTGCTGGAGGCTCATGCCTATAGTACTAGTTAATAAGGTGTTTGAGATCGGAGGTTCAAGATCTGGAGACAGCCAGGAAGAGAAATCTGTAAGACTCCAAATAACCAGCAAAAAGCTGGAACTGGAAGTTTGTCTCAGAGGGTAGAATGCCAGCAGTGAGTAAAAAGGCTGAATGAGAGTTTGAGGTCTGGGGTTCAAGCCCCATTAGAGCAAAAAGAAAAAAGTGCATTTTTAAATCTCCATGTATTTATATATTATTTGTAATTTCTAGCATTGGTTTCTAGTTCCATTCCATTGTGCTATGATAAAATATAAATAAAATCTTTCTTTTAGGTATTTGTTAAGATTTGTTTTATAACCTAAAATGTGGTCTATTTTGGACAAAGTTTCATAGGCTACTAAGAAGAATATTTATTCTACAGAATTGAATGGAAATGATACATATATGTACATATACATATGTATTCCAATTTGTGGTACAGTTTAATTTTGAGTGTCTGAATTTTTTTTTTTTTTTTTTTTTTTTTTTTTTTTTTTTTTTTTTTTTTTTGGTCGGTTGTGGGGCTTGAACTCTGGGCCTGGGCGCTGTCCCTCAGCTCTTCAGCTCAAGGCGAGCGCTCTACCACTTGAGCTACAGCGCCACTTCCGGTTTTCTGGTGGTTTATTGGAGATAGGAGTCTCACGGTCTCTCCTGCCCGGGCTGGCTTTGAACCGCGATCCTCAGATCTCAGCCTCCTAAGTAGCTAGGATTACAGGCGTGAGCCACCAGCGCCCGGCTTTGAGTGTCTGAATTTTTTATCTGGATGATCTATCTATGATGATAATGGGATACTGAAATCTCTGAGTATCTGAATATTCCTGTATCTGCACCTATCTGTCCCTTTTTTTCCATTAGTGCCCATTTTATGATGGCCTAAATTTCTTAAATGACTAAACAATCCATTAAGCTTATTACTTCATCCTTCAATTCTGTTCACTATGTTCATTATATAAGAATATCTCATCTTCACAAATAATCATTTGATTGGAAAGAAGTAAATATCTGTTGTTATTTTGTGTTTCTGGTTTGGACAGGGAAAAAAGGCAAACTAGGGTGGAGATGTAGCTCAAATGGTAGAACATCAGCCTTGAGTAGAGTGAAAAGGCCAGCCTGAGTTCAATACCCTGTACTGGCACACACATGCACAAAAAAGGACTAGCTACATCTTTTAATGACAAATAGGCCAGTGAAAGTGTGCAAAAATGATAAAACTAGATGCGCAAAACAATAAAGGATATATTTGCTCTCCTTTCCTTTTAGAAAGATGACATGTGACTACATGAGGAAAACAACATAATTTCTACCAATAAAAAAAATATTACTTGTTTGTGTTGGAAAGGCCAAGACAATCTAATACTATGGCAAGTTTATATAGAAAAAGTAGTTTATATAGTTTATATAGAATGGTGGTTTAAAGAAAACCACCTAGCAACTTCACAATTTCATATAAAGTGGAAAGGACATCACATCTACATAGTACAGTACAGCCATGTCAGAGTTACAGGGTTATCAGTCCTAACTTCATAGACAGAATTCTAGAACCCCAAAGTAAACCAAGGAGCATGGAAAGCAGAGAATTATTATATCTTCTTCTTCATATGCATATCCATCATTCTTTCTGAAGTCACTTTTCTTTATATCTTTTCCCCATGTGTAGAAATCTACTGAGGAAAGCACCATGGAGGCTGCAGCTCCAAGAAATAATTGCAGAGCACAAGGGAGTTGTTAATCAGTGAAAAGCAGAGAGACTGGCTTGACTGGCTCACATAGGATCAGAGCAGTACACACTTTAGGTATGGGGGAATAATCAAACTAAGCAATAGAAATTAAAGAACTGTCCCTTTCTTCTGCCTTTGACTTCTATCTTCTTGTAATGGTATCAATGATAGAAGACTCTAACAGAAGTCTTTAATAAACTCCATATATTTACGTATGTCTATACTCTGATTTCATTAATGCATTGTACCAAATTGGTACATTAATATGTACCAAATTGTCATACTGTACCCCATAAATATGTACAAATATTGCATGTCAATAAAAATTTTCAATTAAAAATGTTTCCAGATTTTTGGGTGCTAGGAATTGAACCTAGGGCTTTACATTTGCTAGGCAAGTGTTCTATCACTGAGCTACACCCCCAATGCCAATTCCAAATTTTCTTTTAGGAAGAAAACAGGTGGTATCTTAAATTATTATCATAGTAATCATAATAGTGCTCATGATAACAATAAGAATAATAATAACAATAATTGTGACAACCACAACAGCCATAACAATTCCTATTTATTACACCATAGCTAAGGATCATTAGTTAATGGTGTTTTTATTACATTATTTTTAAAACAAGTTTATAGTCAGGGCTAGTGGTCCATGCCTATAATCTTAGCAACCCAAGAGCCTGAGAAAGACCTTGTATTAATTTCCCAATATTGTGTGAATCTCTACGTTTCTTTGGGAAATCCAGATTAGTCCTAATTTAATCCAAAAGCTAAAACTCTGATAGAACCTTGGATGTGATTTGGGATCCTTTAAATAGTTCTCAAACCTCTTCTCAAAACTGTTCTGAGTCATTATAACTTGCTAATAACCAGCCACTAAAAATACAACTTAAATTATTTACCAGGAAATTAAAACTTGGTTAAAGTAAAAAACATGGTTAATATTTTCTGGCCTAGGTTGGTTATATCTAACTATCTCTAAATGGTCAAGAGACACTGGCTGAATCATCAACCATACTTTATGAAGCAGAGAAAAAATAATTATAGATCTAGATTTGAAAAGCTAATTATGAAAGCATAAAACAATAAAAAGAGCATAAAAACAATAAAAGTTCATGTTTCCAAAGTTTACAAAGAATATAAGCTAAATATTTATTTTCATACATATCCTTATATATTAACAAATGTAGATCTTTTACATACCTCCATCCGATTCAAGTCACGGGTCTGTTGGTTTGCTGGAACTGACTCAGAATAAGAATCAAACAAAGCACACTCCCACTTGGGCTTAGGAAAAGCTAAGACAAAAGAAAAGGCACATGTAAGAATAGTTACTATAGTTATAGTAGTGCTCATTGTCAACCTTTCTGTGCTTTTAAACATAACAACAAATCCTATATACTATCTGTACACTATAGCTAATATATACAACCTGTACCACTAATCATGATGAGATAGTATTTTAGGCTCTTAATAAATACAACCCCATACTTCTATCATGCCAACTTGTAAGATCACCATTTTTTACACGCTGAAACTAGGAAAGGTGTAATAAATAACTTACTCAGGGTCATATTGCTGATAAATGAAGGTCAGGATCTTGAACTCCTAGGAGTTCAACTAAAAAACCCATGTTCCCAGAACTTTATGTTATAACACAGTAGTGATGTTTCACTTAGACATCATTATCACAATTCATAAAGACATTGGTTGTAAATTTGAATATTATGAATATTAACCAGATACTTCATTTTAGCTGTTGCTGGAAATAAACAGATCTTATACTGAAGGAAGTATGTCTAAGATAATTTTATGACATTTGTCATAATTATCTTTGGTTAATAGGGAAATAAAAGCATAAAACTTTGCTGATTTACAACAAGGAAATAAGAATCACAGTGTGGGGCTGGGAAGGTGGCTCAGTGGTAGAGTGCTTGCCTTGCATGCATGAGGCCCTGGGTTCGATTTGTCAGCACCACATAAGCAGAAAAAGCCAGAAGTGGTGCTATGGCTCAAGTGGTAGAGTGCTAGCTTTGAGCTGAAGAGCTGAGGGACAGTGTCCAGGCCCAGAATTCAGGCCCCACGACCGACAAAAAAAAAAAAAAAGAAAAAGAAAAAGAAGAAGAAGAAGAATCACAGTGTGAATTTCTTCTAACATACAACAGTGATAGTGGCTATTAGTTGGGTAAACCGATTGAATTAGTGTGAAGAAAAATCATACTATTGTGATAAGCTAATTACCAAATAGCTGTGTTATTTCTTAGGAGCAAATTTTGATTCATGTTGACATACACTAATTAAGAAGGATATATCTAAACAGATTAAAAATGTCAATATTCCAAAGAGCAAAAGCAGACTTGGGTATACGACAAACATAAGCTACAAATTGAATTTGTCAAGATATAATATTAGGGAGTTAAATTTTAGTGCCAACTTTAAACAACATTGAATCAATTGTTACAAAATGGATTGATGTTGTTCTTAATTTTACTCACATTTCCATCCCCACTAGTGATTAAAATGCCATCAATACTCTGTATTAAGGTACTGGTCAGAAAAGCCTGTGGAGTTGAATGCAAAAGCCTTCACCTGTTTGTTGATTTTCTTACTCTAGTTTAAACTTCACTGGTATTGAATGGGATGTATCAGAGGCCCTCGTGATTTTTTTTTATCATATCTGGTGCTCTGTTTCCTTGATTTAAAAAAAAACAGCTGGGCAACTGATAACACATGCCTGTAATCCTAACTACTCAGGAGGCTGAGATCTAAGGTTGTGGTTGAAGCCAGCCTGTGAAGGAAAGTCTGTGAGACCTTTATCTCCAATAAACTACTTAAAAAAATGCTGGAAGTGGGACTGTGGTTCAAGTGGTAGAGCACTAGCCTTGAGCTGAAGAGCTGAGGGACAGCACCCAGGCCCAGAGTTCAGGCCCCACAACCGGACCGCCCCCCCCCAAAAAAAAGAATCTCAGGAACAGCACCCAGGCCTAGAGTTCAAGCTTCAGGACCAGCACAAATAAACATCCTGAATCCAGACTGAGAGTAGAATATTTTCAACCAGCATAATATTTGTCTTTTTAGTCTATCTACCAATGCTCTGACTATAAGTACAAAATCAATCAATGACTTATCATGATAGTTTCTTGTGTGGAAAAGTAATACTTTCAAAAACTACACATGACAACAACTGCTAAATCTTTCTCTGTTGTGTCTACAATTCTCCATCTCCACACTCATATATCCCCATTCTAGTGCAAGTCCTTGCTAGACTACTAACAACTTAGTTTCCAACCTTGACTTTGAAATCTTGCTATTTGGAGGGCAGTTAGCATGATCATTTCAAAACAAAAGTCCAATTTGATCACTTCTCTGCCTAACACAGGTTATGGCTACTGCCAGCCTTATCTTTCTCTCTATGCCTCATTCGTGTACTCCAGTTACTGGTCTGAAATTTCTACTCCTCCCAGGCTTCATGTCTCTTCTCAGTTCCTTCTTCTCAGTACAGTGCCCTTTACTTAGTCAGTATTCTAAACATTTCTAGCAAACTACATGACAAAAATTTTCTACCAGAAAATACCCAGTCATCTAGACATGAAAATATCAAAGGTTCATGGGTATTCAACCAAAAATCCAATTTATCTTTACAATTCAGCCCTCTAATCTATAAAAAGAAATTCATTCAATAATTATAAATAAACAGCAGTGAGCATGATTCTATTACATTTTTTAAGTTAATAGTATTTTTATTACAATATTTTTTAAAACAAGGTGGCTCAGTGGTAGAATGCTTGCCTTGCCCTGGGTTCTATTCCTCAGCACCACATAAGCAGAAAAAGCACTAAGTGGTGCTGTGGCTCAAGTGGGAGAGCACTAGCCTTGAGCTGAAGAGCTGAGGGACAGCGCCCAGGCCCAGAGTTCAGGCCCCACAACTGACAAAAAAGAAAAGAGAGAGGGGGGAGGGAGAGGGAGGGAGAGAGGGAGAGGAAGGAAGGAAGGAAGGAAGGAAGGAAGGAAGGAAGGAAGGAAGGAAGGAAGGAAGGAAGGAAGGAAGGAAGGAAGGAAGGAAGGAAAGTTTTAAGCTGGGTATCAGTGGCTCACACCTGTAATCCTAGCTGCTCAGAAACGTGAGATCTGAGAATTGTGGTTCAAAGCCAGCCTGGGCTGGCTTTTTTCTTTTCAATTACAAAAAAAAAAAAAAAACCAAAAACTGGAAGTGTAGCTATGGCTCAAGTGGTAGAGCACTAGCCTTGAGCACAAATGCTCATGGACAGCACCCTGAGTTCAAGCCCCAGGACCAGCATTACACACACACACACACACACACACACACACACACACACACACACACACACACACAAAACACACATGTATACATATTTATGAATGAAAATAAAAGTTTTTATGAGGACTCCATAGAAAATGTCTAAGGTTTCTAATGTATAATGAGGTTTTACCTGCTTGCAGGTATTCTGGCTGTAAAGTTGGAGGCAGGCCTTCAGGCAGTGGGTAGCCGTTCTTCCGAGCCACAATGAGATGAAATGCAGCACAGAACTCAGGCAGAGTCAGGGCTCCATCACAGTCAGCATCGCTAAGTTCCCTAAATATAACAAATCATGAGCACCTGCCATGGAATTGCACCTCCAACATGCGATTACAACTCCTATGCTCTCTAGCCATGCATGGGCCTGCAGAATCCCCAAACTCTCCTGACCACACCAATTTGAAATCTCAGAGAACAACTCAGAGAAAGAAAAACCCTGATTAACAGACAGTATTCACATCAGTAGCATTCTGTAAATAAAAATTTAAGTTTTTAAAGTTCTCTGATAGGTCTGTTTAACAAGACTGATACTTGGAGCAAGGAAGTCTAGAATAAAATGAAAAGTGATGCCTGGAATTCCACAATTGCTCACTAAATGCAAATTGTATAGTGTGAAGAGTCCTTAGTACTCAAAAGAGGCAGGGAAAGGTGGGTGCAGCAATTGTGCAGTTTACTCAGCACAAAAATTGGTGCTTCTTTTTTTTCCAGTTTTAAGGATAAGCCTTGAACTTTCCAAGTTACATTAATTTTTGTAGCAAACTATTGTTTGCCTGATAATTCCTTCTTGGGAAAATATAAATGAGCTAAATAAATACTGATGAAATTATGTTTTAAGATGAAACTGGAAGCTAGAGGAAGCTAGAAGCAAATAAGAAAGTATGAAAAAGTCTTGCAAGAGCTTATATTCACGTTAGCCACTGTTTCCCATTAAAAGATACAGACCTATTTACTCAATACAAAAGAAATCTATTTGCCAAAGGAATTAAGACCCGTTAAGCTCTAAGGCTTCTGAAGTGTAACAAAAACAAGTCTACTTGTATTTGCACAGGTAAAGAGATAGGACTTATACAAGATTTTACTAAGAAGTTATTGCTACTGGAAAACAAAACCCATTTCTATGATAAGCTACATAACTTCGCTTTGGACCAACCCCTTTCTCCCCCTCCTTCAGTTTGGAATGGATCAGTCTTAAAACAGCTGCTTCCCAGGGTGAGCAATCTGGGAACGGCTTCAAATGCTGGATAGAGAGAATGCCATTTGGTCTTCATGGATGTGTCTCAAAAAAAAGATAGGAGCCCTCATGCTGATCATGTTAAGGCTGGGAATACTGCCAAAACAGATTGGTTTTTTTTTTTTCAAAATGATAATTTCTTTTTTCCCCCAGCTTCAAAATATAATATAAAGCTTTTTGTAAAAAAAAAAAAAATCATCCTAGATTACATTGCTAAAGAACCTCAATGCAGTTCAGAATCCCAGATACAATGGCATATATGAGCATTATTGGAATACTTTTTTCAATAAGATGAAATTAAATGATGTAGAATTGTACAACTTATTTTTTGTAAATCCTTAAGATAAAAGCCCTCTACATAAACATTCCAATATTTTAATTATACATTGATAACCACACAATCTCCTGCTTGGTCTTGGGGAAGAAGTAATCCACACATGGCCGGGAGTTTACAACACAGAGCATTTTCATAGATGCAAAGAGAGCCATCTGGACCATCACAGTATAGCCCTTCTGAAGCGAGAGCCAAGGCAGCCTGAGCAGCAATGTACAGGGATAGTGCAGCTGCAAGGCTGAATGAGGGCTCAGCCAAGAAACACTGGCCAAATTGACAGAGCTCAGAAGCAGCTAGAATATGCAGATTTAATTCCGTTCCAAATGTTCCCAGACCTTCTGTTCGCCCTGCCTTATACTTGCCTCGCACCAAGTGAAACAAAAAATCTGAAAATAAAATATACAAGACAGAATATCTCAGATGTCCACCATTACTTAGATTTGAAAAAGGATTGAGAAGGCAATAATAATTAAATTACTTTTAAGCTAGTAGTTAACATTTGTGGTATGTAGTGTGTGTGTATGTGTGTGTGGTAATTTATTTTATTTTCACAGCCACACAAATCCAAGCTCGAGTCACTTTCTCAATCTGTTAAAAATATCATTCAAAAAAAGACTTTCAAAAATGCTAAAGAATGAATATTATGTTAATGTGATACTATTTGGCATTAAATGTACTCACCATATATAAGAGAGTTCTGGAATGGAAAGCTTTGATTTGGTGAAGAAGTTCTTGGCCACAGATCCTGTCAAGAGCCATTGTTTAAATAAACCAGTAATTACTTATCTAGAGCAGTTTTTAATTTATATGCAAGTGGATCCCCATTTTTTTCCATTCAGCAATCATTACCATGTAGCCACAGACATATTTAATCCTCAAGAAATCACACAAAGCCATGTATGCCTTATCTGGGACTCATGAGGCTCTAGGTTTAATTCCTAGCACCTCAAAAAAATACACAATTATTAAAAATAAAAGCAACATACAAAGTCAGGCACAGTATCTCACACTATAACCTGGCTACTTAGCAGGCAGAAATCAGGAAGATCACATTTTGAGATCAATCCAGACAAAAAGTTGTCAAGACCCCAGTTCAATCAAGAAGCTGGGATGGTGATATATGACAGACATAATGGGATACATAGACAGAAGGGACACAATCTAGGCTACCGTGCATATAAACATAAGTTGCTCTTCAAAATATAAGTAAAGCAAAAAGGGCCCAGAACCTGTGGCTCACACTTGTAATCCCAGTCTCTCAGGAGGCTGAGATGTGAGGATCAAGGTTCAAAGCCAGCCTGAGCAAGAAACTCCATGAGATTCTTATCTCTAATTAAAAACAAAAAAGCTGGAAGTGGAGCTGTGGTTCAATTGGTAGAGCACTAGCCTTGAGCACAAAAGATCAGGACAATGCCCAAGACCAGGGCGCGCACATGCGCGCACACACACACAAAAGCAGAAACGTGGTGGAGTGCCTGCCTAACAAACAAAAGCTCTGAATTCAAACTCCATATACAAAACATATTCATAGTTTTTAGAAGAATATTTAGGTCAAAATAGGGCAAAAAGCTCCCATAAAGTTCATAAAAGTTTTAGCAAACCTCTGCAAAATTTTACTAAAACTTCAAAAAAACTAATTTCAGAGTTAAGTAAAAATCTATCAAAGAAAAAAATAATAGCCATGGTAGAAAAGTGAGCAGAACAAAAACTGATACCATTACTCCCACTAAATAGGAATATGATAAGCATCTTGAAAATATTTTCAGTGAAGCTCTGCTTTTTTCTCTCCTCTCCTCTCCTCTTCTCTGTCTCTCTGTCTGTCTGTCTGTCTCTGTGTCTACGTCTGTGTCTCTGTCTCTCTCTATCTCTGTGTCTCTGTCTCTCTCTGTGTGTGTCTCTCTCTGTCCCTCTTTCTCTGTCTCTCTTTCTCTCTCAGTACTGGAGATTAATCTCAGCACCCCCTGCTTTGTAGGCAATCACTTTACCATTTTACCATTGCACAATGCCCCGAGCCCTTTTCCTTTGGTTATTTTAGGAGTAAAGTCCCATGTTTATGCCTGAATATCTCTCCTTCCAATTACGCTTTCCTTACATCTGGGGTAATTGGCACATGCTACCACACTCGACTATTGGTTAAAACAAGGTCTTACTAACCTTTGTCTGGTCTGGCCTTGAACTGTGATCCTCCCAATCTCTACCCCTCCAATAGCTGGAATTATACTCATAAGCAACTGGCACCTAGCTCCAAATAAAAATATTTCTAGCAAGTACCTATTTGTGTTTGGCTACATATCTGAATATGTTGTGAAGAAAGTCAATTGAGCAAGAGGTAAGGCTAGCAATAGACAATATATGCAATATGGGTTTCTGCTCATTTTTCTGAGCCATAATATTAATATGTTGTAGCATTAATTTGTTGTAGCAATACTATTCTGACTTCCAGAAAGCCATTACTGTCAACAAAATGATGTTTATTTTTATTTATACAAATATATCTGTTACACTTTGTTTTATGGAAGAAAACTAGTTTTAGTCCATACTTCAAAACATCATGTTAGCATTATCAAGAATACACTGTTGCCAGGTATGGGTGGCTCATGCCTGTAATCCTAGCTACTCAAGATACTGAGATATGAAGATCATGGTTTGAAGCCAGCCCAAGCAGAAGAGTCCATGAGAGAGACTTATTTCCAATAAACTATTTAGAAAAAGCCAGAAGAGGTTCTGTGGCTCAAGTGGTAGAGTGCTAGCCTTGAGCACAAAGAGGCTCAGGGACAGGGCCCAGGCCCTGAGTTCAAGCCCCAGGACCGGAAAAAAAAAATAATACTCTGTTATCCTTGAAAATTAAAGAACATTTTATGAATTTTTTTCCAGAGTCTTATTGCACTGTTTGCTTAGTCATTAACTTGGCAAAATGTAGGCACACAGGAATTACATCAATTCCTCTCAGCTTGATTTTTATATGAGAAATCAACAAGGAAAAAAAAATATATATACATATATATGTATATATAAGATGCCATAGGGGAAAATGATAGCCAGTTTTCCTTCCATATCTTAATTTTTCTCAGAAAAATAAAACAGAGGAGAAAAACTTGAGCCAAAGAAAATGGTCATCAGTTTGAACTTCTAGAATGTATAAAACATAAAACACTTGTTTTGGAAAGCTATACTCTGTCTGTGCTCTGATTCTAAATAGAAGTAAGCAGATTTGTTATTATCTACCATTTCAAGAACTGCTTCAGCTCACACAGATAAAGGATTTGGACAAGGCCCCCTCCAATTCCCTGTTAACCCTTCTGAAAGAGAAATATAGTTTTCCCAATGTTATTGGCAACTTTTATATGCACAATTTAAACTTGATAAGAAATTCCATCTTTGAGAAAAACAAGTTGAATCAAAGAAGGTTGTCATATTCCATTCTATGTAAATTATTTCTCAAGATGTTTACTACTATTCATGTGAGAATAATGTCCAAGAACATCATGTTCCTACCTGAAATGAAGGAACTTGGATCCGGCTGAAGCGACCGGAACTGATTGACATAGTATTCCCGCTGTTCTTCTGTTATTCTCCAGGGTTCATCCGGGTAATTACTGTTGTCCTGTAGTTCCCTCTCCACTGAAAAAGACTTTTTAAAATAAAAATAAAAAAGGAACTGCTTAGACAAGGTGCCTCTGCTGAGGTGAAGTATAAAACTTAAACACCGGTAGAAGCCATTATGTATTATTCTTAAGTTTTTTTTCCTCAAGGGAATAAATCTGTTTCATAACTGAAATGTAATTACTAAAGAGTAAGCACTAAGCTTTATACATATTTTTTCTGTCCCTGAAACTTTTTACTAGGATTAAGCATAAAATATTGATCTCTTGATTAGTTTCAAAAGACTTTCTGATGGGATAAAGGAAGGGTTGAAAAATTCATTCTTCAATAATTCACCATAGAGAGGAAAACAGTAATTGGATAGTTTTAAAACCATGAACAAAACCAGTGGAACAGCTATAACCACATTATCTTTCTTTTCTATTTCAATAGTGCTGAATAAATCTGGGAATCAAAAGCTCTGATTCAAATCCCATATCCACAGGTCCTACTTGAATGCAGGTCAAGATCGCTGACCCTGTCCTCCCATATGTGTAAGTTGGAGATAATAAAACTCAATGGTAAAAACAATAGGGTAACAAGGGGTGCATCAGACCTGCCACTAGAGGGCGGACACATCAAAGGAAGACTTAAGAGCCTAGAAAACCAGAAAAGCAGTAGAGAAAGCAAAAGGTAAAGAATGCTAGGCTTCTATTCCATTGGTCCTGAGGTCTGTTCTTGTGCCAGTACCAAGCTGTTTTGATTAAGAGGCAACAATGCTTGATAAGAAATGGACTCATTACCTTGCCCATGTAATTATAACCCCTCTGTACGGTATTTTCACAATTTTAAAAAATCGCTAGAAAAGCAATTACCCTTATTAAAATTAAATTATTCCATCCAGTTTACCTTCTTAAAAATAAATATTCATATAAATGAACTAGAAAAAAAAAAGAATGCTAGGCTTCTGGAAATGAAACACAGGAATGTTGTAGAGAGGATGAATCGGGGCTGTTTCATCCCTCCCATCTACCCTAAGACTATGGGGTTATTGCCAAGGGCCATTTTCATGGAACTAAGAGAAAAACACAAGGGTTGTGAGCTTTAAGGGCAAAAGCAGTGTAGAAATGAAAAGGAGGGGTATCAAGTTGGCCGCCTCTAAGCACTGTCAAGAAATGAACCATTTAGGGTAGGTAGCATTCTACCCACTATTCCTAGATAAGACAGCAAACCATCTCCTTTTTCCCGGACATGTCCCCCTATGTACACTATTCCAGAAATTAATAATACTTCCTAGGAAACCAATCTCCCTTGACAATGTTTGGAAAAGAAGGGAGATTGCATGGGAAGTTTTACATTGTAATATAACCTTGAGATGTCACCTTTGACATAAAATATCTATCATTTTGACTGACTTCTGAAATCTTGGGCTAAGGTTGTTTGGAAAAGAGCAGCAGAATGACATGAAACTCTGCTAGTGTAATGGGTATTCCCAAATGCATCAGGAGAAGGGTAAACCCAGCAGAAGCTTTTATTCAAAGAAAGAAACTGTGTCCTTTAGAATAGACAGAAGGAAGGTAACACAAATAAGTAGAAAGCTATGTATAATCAATATATCACCTTTAAATTTTTTAATGTCCAGGAAGTCACTAGTTAATATATTAAATTCACAGAGTTCTTTGACATTTATAAAGAATTCCATATGCTCCTATGTCATTTAGCATCTTAAGACATGGCAGGTTTTACTTATTATCTTTTTTCAGGGCAACTTAAGGGACTTAGCTATATATAGTCAATGAATCGTTGCACAAAGCAAATAATGCTCCTCACTCTTTTTTAACATATTTACTCGAGTTCCTGCAAATGAAGATTTTTTTTTTGAGTTAGACTCTGATGAGACAATCAGGTTGGCCTTGAATTCCAGATCCCCCTGCCTCAGCAGGAATATGCCACCATGCTCAGGCATATCAGTATTTTTCAAGCTGGACTGCCTCTATATTTTTTTGGATACTCTTTATTCTAATAATAAAAATACAAAGAAAGAAACCAAGGAGAATTAAAAGGTTGTCTGAAGAAAAAGAAAACTCTTCTTGGCCAGGTGCCGGTGGTTAACGCCAGTAATCCTAGCTGCTTGAGAGGCTGAGATCTGAGAAGCAAGGTTCAAAGCTAGCCTGGGCAGAAAAGTCTGAATCTTACCTCCTATTAACTAGTAAAAAGCCATTCATGGAGGTGTAGCTCAAATGATAAAGTGCCAGTCTTAAGCCTGGCTTCCATTTTCTACTTTAAAGGTGAAGATCAAAAGAACTTTTACTTTCTCTTCCTATATTAACCTATGTGTGATATTTATGGAAATTCTGTAGTTACATATCTACAAAGTGAATATTTCAAGGACAGAAGGAGTAGATGAGTGAGGTGCTGGTGGTTCACATCTATAATCCTAGCTACTTAGGAAGCTGAGATCTGAAGATCCTGATTCAAAGCCAGCCTGGGCAGAAAAGTCTGTGAACTCTCATCTCCAATTAAACAGAAAAATGTCAGAAGTGGAAGTAAGGCTCATGTGGTAGAGTGCCAGCCTCGAGCAAAGAAAACAAGCAATAGAGTTAGGCCCTGAGTTCAAGTCCCAGTACAGCACAAAAAAAAAAAGAGTCAATGACTTCCCACACCCCATTAAACTGGAATATCTCAAAAGAAAGGTGATCTACAAGAAGCAAAATCATTTTTTGGGGGGGGTCCAGTCATGGGGCCACAACTCTGGGCCTGGGTGCTGTCCCTCAGCTCTTCAGCTCAAGGCTAGCACTCTACCACTTGAGCCACAGCACCACTTCCGGTTTTTTCTTTTTGCTTATGTGGTGCTGAGGAATCGAACCCAGGGCCTCATGCATGCAAGGCAAGCACTCTACCACTGAACCACCTTCCCAGCCCCGCAAAATCATTTAAATGCCACTGCATAAATAATGAGCTGTTTGATCATTCATTCAACAGACACTGAAATTACCAACAATAGCCCAGACTATGAATACACTGATAGGAAAATAGATATTTTTTTTTACTCAGGAAGCCCAGAGATTAGTGAGGGAGAAAGATACACAGGCAATCTTAAAACAGTAAGAGAAGTATCTTGCTATAGTAAGATACTCTGGAGTTTTGCTACTTGAGCTTTGTGGTTTCTACCCATTGTTATGGGGCCTTGTTAGAAATACAGACTCCATCCATCCCCCTAGTGAATCAGAAAGTCTGAGAGGACTCTGTGATTTAACAAGCCCTCTAGGGGATTCAAAGTGTCCCCAACTTTGAGAAGTAATGCCATATGATACTCAAGGCAGGGCAAGGAAAGGGAGTGGCATTTGCAGGTATCAAAACATGAGAGAATGGTGGCCATCTGCTGAAAGCAATTCTTGGGCTACATATAGACAAAATAGGCTGCCATTGTAGTGTAGTTGCCTTAATATGGTCCAGACTAAAAGCAAGGACTGGGCTGGGAAGGTGGCTCAGTGGTAGAGTGCTTGCCTTGCATGCATGAGGCCCTGGGTTCGATTCCTCAGCACCACATAAGCAGAAAAAGCCAGAAGTGGGGCTGTGGCTCAAGTGGTAGAGTGATAGCCTTGAGCTGAAGAGCTGAAGGACAGTGCCCAGGCCCTGAGTTCAGGCCCCACGACTGGCAAAATAAAAAAAGCAACAACTATGGTTAATGTAAGGCTTTGAGGATCTATTAAACAGAGTAAGTTACAGAAAGGTCACTTTAGCAAGGAGAATGAAGCAGGAAAGATGAAAGGTCCAGCAACCAGTTAACAATAGCAATTTGGCCATAGATAACTGTGGTCTACAACTAACAACGGATAGGAGACAAGTAAAAGAGAAAAAAAAAACTCAGATGGCACCTCAGTACATCTTTGTCAGCACCTACGTGCCAGAAACAACCCACTATCAGGCATAATTAATACAACTTCTTAGAATAAGTCACCTAAGAGAGAATGATTTGTTGCAAAGAAGGAAGGCACTGGAAAATGGAAATGACTGTTCTATGAAGCCTTAGACATCCAAGTAGTGGCCGGAACAAGGAAAATATCTACTTCTAAACATACCCGAAGAGGTTTCCCCAGTTCTAGTGGTTTTGTTGGTCAAACAGAGATATTTGCTACTCGATGCCGATATTAAGCTCTGCCCATGTTTTTAAGAAAGAAATAAGAAAAAGGGGTGAACCATGCAGCAGTGGTACTCACTACATACTACATACTATGTTGAAAATGATCTCTACAACTTGTGAGTGGGGATGGGAGGGAAAAACTGGGAGAGAACAGGGAAGGAGTGACATCGTCCAAAATGAAATGCACTCTTTTTCTGACTTACGTAACAGTAAACCCTCCACATATCACCTCTATAATAATAACAAAAAACTAAAAAAAATGAAAGAAAGAAGAGAGAAATCTTCCACATCTGTCTACTTAAACCCACACATATGGTTCATTATACATTTTCTCTAGACACAGGAGAATTGGATTTGTTTGTATTTAAAACATTCAAACTCTTGGTTTTATTTCAAGTAAAATGCAAGTATTTGGCACTGCAAGTTATTATCTCTGGGGGAAACAGGCTGTTATGAGGAAAGAGACTTCAAAAGACTCATTAAAAATAATAACTATTAATAAAATCATGAAAGTTGGATAATATGAATTGCAAGGAAGTACTGTCAGGGAGAACACAGAAAGGCTATGTTTATTATATCAACCACAGAAAATTCCTGTTTAGAATATTATCTTACCCTGTCGGTAACCTCTAAATGTTGCTGCCCTTCACCTAGGAGGGTATAAATGATCTTTTCACAGTGTCCTTTGCCATGCTTTAGCGAAAGCAAGCCGGGATAGGGGCATGGCACAAGGGATAAAGAACCAGCCTAGCTCTAAGCTCAAACCACAGTGTAGAAAAAAACAACAACAACAAAGTGGGAGAGATAGAGAAAGGGAGGGAGGGAAAGGGAGTGCTAAGGACATAGCTCTTGGTGGAGTAATGACCTAGCATGTCAAAGGATAGCCGGCCTTTCAGTTAGATGCA